TAATCATTACTTATCACAAAGACCCAAGGTAATGACAAGGTAAAGTCAGAAACTTTACAGCTCTAACAAGGGAAAGATGAGAATCAAAGACACTAATTCACTTCAAAGGAGACAAAGCTGAGAAATCTTAAATATGTCTGCCCGTTAACATACTGAAGTTGCACCCTACTTTTGAAAAGCATGTCAGCTCTCTGAAGTAAGCATTAGAGTACTCTTCTATTTCAGTTTGTTAGATGACATAAATAAAAATAAACTTGGCTACGCGGCACTTTCCTGCAAAGAGAATATGTCAGGGTCCCAGAAAATAGATTTCAGTGGAACGAAATACTACACTTCCAGAGCTCTCCGCGACTGGGCAGTTATTAGGAATAAAGGAGCAATTCTTACACCACTAATTTTAATTTTAATAGGTAGATAAAAGATAAAAAGATAAAAAGATAAAGCTTCAGAAAGTGGAAAGAGAAAGAGAAGCACAAATGCTGTGAACGCCACTGAACTTTTATCAGAAGCCACAGACTGTGAAACAAATTACAAGAGAACTGATATCAGGGCATACTCTTTAGAAAGTTAAGAGAGAAAAAAATTTAGAGAACCAAAAATGAAAGAGCAATACAAAGTACCTGGAATATCCTTCAGGGGATTAATCACAGCTAGTTTCTTTACTAGCTCTTTCACACTCATTTAATCAGTGTGATAAAAAGAGGAAACTCCGAATAGCTTTTACTTTCTTACGCTGGTTACAATGCAACTTGCCCGCTGGGATCCTGTGTCTGGCAATTTCCTGCCCTTGCTTGAATCATACTTGCATCACTACTGCTGGCACCCCTACTAAAAATTTAAATCACCATGCAATTGTTCAGGTGACATTAAACCTTAGAGACACAGAAAATCAATTTATCAGTTTGACAAACAATCTTCCATATGCACAACCTAGGCTCTTTTCCCTATTTTGCTTGCAGGGCCTTGTGCGGTAGCTGTTCTCAAAGCCTGAGCACAAAAATGATTATAAGAGGTGATTGCTCACCACTTTTGCCACCAAGCTCAGTGGTTATAGCATTGTCGCAGGATGCCATCTCTGGCTCTGCTCGCTCTCCTCAGGGAAGGAATTCAGACCTGTGCTTCATGAGCAAGGACAGGACAGCTCAGGGTGGCTGCCACCACTGCCACTCCCTCACTCTGCCCCCACAACGCATTAACTCCTGTTAATCTGAAACTCAACCATCACATGGTATAGGACAGCACTACACAACTGCAGAGTTTCACCAACCCCATCTTTAGGTACCTAAAGCAACTCACACATTGCAAATAGCCAGCCTTGGAGCTGCAGATTCTCCAGAGTGGCTGGATCCTCAAAAGATAAGCAGTACAATATTTGGTATCGTGACTTCAAATTCCTTCGCATTTTTTTTGCCTAATCTCTCGTATTCTCTATCTGTGATATTTAGTTCAGGTTCATTGTGACATAAGCTGCAATTCAGATTTACTAATGCCTTTGGGTTTCCCCTAGGAATATCTACACATCCCTTCATGGTCTGTGATGCCGCTGAAACATGATGAAACAAAGGGGGAGTTACACATTTGGCTATGACAGCACTGCACTAATATCCAGGCTAGCTTTAAACTAGCAGTTCTGGCAGTCCACCTGCTGCAGCACACAGCTTGGTGCACACAGCCTAAGAAGCGGCTAAATTAATATATCCCTGCTGCTTTGGTTATTTTACCATCGTCTGAGCTGCTAAATTTAAAACTCACATAGGTACGCCCACGCTATACGGCAGTTACATCAGTGGTTGCATTGTAGCTAAAGTCAGAAGCTTACTCCATAAGTAAGCATACGGCCCCACTGACTTCAAATAACAGATATATTTGTGGGCTTGTTCATGATTTCTGTTGAAAAGTTCTAATCAGATGTTGACTATCAGTTTTGATATGCACTTGCTTAAAAACATGTGAAACAAGCTTTACTAAGAATGTGTATTATTTCACTCTTATTCAAAATCTTTTATTCAAGAATAGTCAAAGCACTTTTTTAACAATACATCATATTCACATCACAATTTTTTTCTGTGATGTAAGTCAGTATATAAAACAGGGCACAGATTAGTTAACCCCAACGTCACAGGTAAGCAGAGCACCCAGGTTGCCTTTCTCTAGTGACGACATTGAAAACGTACATGACAGGCTAGACTGTCCTGTACAACTAACGCTCTTGAACAAAGTAAAATATAAAAAGAGGCGATATTCAGAGAGTTTAAGTACATTCCAAAGAAAGAATTTTCCAAATCAAATTGCCAGGAGAGATCACTAGGATAAAAAGAAATAGATGCAGTCTGACTGAAATGGTATAGTGATAAACACTAATTCAATGCACATGAACCAAAATTCTACCTTATTCTCAGTGACTAAAACTACTGGAAGAGCTCCATAACGTTTGCATTGAGCAGAAGCATACAGGACTCCAATACAGTGTTACAGAGGTACCATTAAATAGTTGAACTGGAGCTAACAACTGGAGCTTTGTTCTGAGCCTTAGCACGTGCTTCATATCATTGCCATATCGAGGTTGAGAATCAGAGGAGAATCACATTAAACATGTGCTGAAACAAAGGCAAGCCCCTCTGGATTTTCTCTCGGGAGCCAGAAGGATCATTATTCAAGGATCCTGAAGTGCTGCTTGAAACAAGCTACCAACATAACTAACTGTTGAGATGCAAAAGGGAGCTTTCCTTCTGGGATAACGAACTTAAGTCTCTTGTCGGTTTGCATGCTTTTCAAGGTGGACTTATGACTTTCTTCAGAAAGGCCAGTGAAAACCTCCTCAAGGCCTGCTTCCCCCAAAAGGCATTCACAAGGAGGTCACATGTCAAGAGCTGCCCAAAGACACTGGGGAACGATTATGGCTGTTACATCTCAGCGGCAGCTGGAAGCTCACTATTTACTAGAGAATGATTTAACGGTTTACATCGCTAGCTACCTAAACCATCTCTAGCTACCTAAACCATGAGCCATCCCCCTGAGTCACAAGACTGGAAAGGCCAATTCTGATACCATCCGATACGTAAGGTACTACCTTGTCCTAGACCAGAGTAAATGACCTTTACCAATCCTCAGCTGGGGAGCACAGAGTTCAGCATTTCTGGCTGCCTGCTTTGGAAGAGCAAAGAAAGGATTAATCCACCTTCCATAACTGCTCCAGCTCTGGGGAGCAGTTATCCTCCACGGCCTCCTACAACACTGGTATTCGGTCCCACCACTTCCTTGGGCCTGTTTGCTGTCAGTCGGTGGCCACAGTGTCAGTCAGAGAGAGACCTGTAGCAACCAAAAGCAGATTTTCCATGTGCCCATGCACTTCTGTGACAAGCATTTCCTCTCCGTCAGAATATAATGTGCTGTAACCTATAGGCATCTCCTCTCGCTTGGCTTCCTGCTACAGTCTTGAACAAGCACTCAAGTGATACGGTTTCCCTCAATTCCCTACCAACATTTTAGAGAGCAGTTTTGAAAAATGCTTCACCCTTACCAGTTTCCAATGAATCGAGGATCACTCTGGTCAATATAAACAGTTGTCCTAGGATCAACATAGAAACCAATAAGAACTCCTCCTAGTAAGTATCCAGCTGCAGGACCGAGTGCTCCCATTACATACATGATGGCTGAGGAAATAAAAGGTTAGAATCGCATATCAATAAAATGAATGTTTCATTAGTTATTTATATATAGAATAAGGATCCAGAAGTAAAAGATGCTTCTTAAAGCAGGGTATTTGTGTACTGCAGAATCTTCAGAGCATTTTTTGCAATCTTCCAAGGTAGCAACTTCTGGATAAATAAAATATCAATAAGAAAATTACTGCTTTCTGTGTGTGTTAAGTCAAATTATGGGTGGAAGTATATACTATTTCGGTATTTTGGATAGACACCATATTTGATTTTGACAATATTTTTCATATTTTGTAACGTTTCCTTTGAATCAAAACTTAAAAGATTAAAACAATGATACAAAAAATACAATTAATGGTGAGCTAACAGGAAAGCAAACAATGGATAAAAATTATGTAAGACACGAAAGAATAAAGTAGAACATTACAACTTAGTCATCATCGGTCTAAAACTTGATTTAAAAGAACACTGAAGTTAATAAATCAAATATTCCTATTTTAGAGACTGACAGAATTACGTTTTTATCTATGCAGCTTCAGACTTGGCCCGGTTGTCCATTCTGATATCAACACACCACATACCATATTTCCACAAGACTCCTGCCTTGCTCAGGACATTTGATCTTGTGAATTTCATTTTTAATGTTATTTTCCAACAAGCAAGTTTAAACATATTTAAAAAGCAAATAAAAAGAAAAAAAATCTCTCATATGGAACCCTACAAACAAATAGTTTATGACAACATCACAGTCTGAATATCACGACAGCAAAGAACTTATCACTTGAAATAACAGAGTAGCAGAGTAGCAGAATAGTAGCCTCCTATCTGCTGTGTCTTCCACAAGATACTCTTCAGAGTGGAGCCTCCAGTACTGGTTCCTCAACCATCCACACCAGAGGATCTCTTAGAAAGCACCATAGCTCCCACACAGCTTGTGTGCCGGTGCTGTCAGGAGCAAGGGACATAGACAGGGGAGGAAAGACTACAAGTGTGTTTCGTCCTAGCATGGGGCCAAGACACAAGTGAGAGAGATAGCTGAACCTGTGACCTAGGAAACTTTTCTGAATCCCCTAGTACAGATATAGGTCTAGGCACCAGCAGGAGCACATAAAAACATTTGTTCTGTTTGCTGAGAGGAATTGAACATTGAGATTCGGGAATCCCTATCTCATTTCCAGATTTTGAAAGGTAGATACTTTAAAGGCTGTAAAATTTGTATTACCTCTAAATCCTGCCAATTCTACTATATTCTTCCCTGTTCCACTTCTGCAAAGCCTAAATAAAGCACTCAAAACTTTTGAATGAAGCCAGGTTCACCTATCACAACCTCACATTCAGATACTTTTTACATACGGATCTTGACCATACCACCATGACCGCAGCCATCTTCCCAAGATTGTTCTCTTTCTCCCCTACCCCATCTATTTTCTTCCTTAATGCATCTCAGTGTTCATTCCTTTCAAGATGCTTCTGCCCTGCCTCCCATGCTGTCTGGCTGTCATCTTGAAAGTCAAGAGAGGTTTTAAGCATTGGTTTCCGTTCTCCAGCCTGATGCCTGCTACCACAGAAACCCAAGCTCCAGCAGCACAATTACGCTTGCTCAGCTGCTGCAGGCCCAATATGTAGCACATCAGAAATAATCTGATTACCTAATTCTCTGAAAATACCATCTTCACTGTGAAATCTCCCTCTCTACATGTTTTTTTGTGGATCAGTCACCCTCTGTGGAAGTGTGTAAACTCCATCCTCTTTGGTCCCATCCACGATTAGATATGCTGCATCCTGGGACTGCAGCAGCTGAGCAAGTGCAACTGTGCTGTTAGACCCTGGGTTTCTGTGATACCAATTAAAGTAAATTATATCTCATAGACAAAATAAAGAGAAATCGCTAAATCTGCCTGATTAAACCAAAATAGTGTGTATATTTTCACCATGGTTTCCAGAGCAGTGTTGACTATTTAAATCTATTCAAGTCATTTTCCCTTCTGAATTGACTCTAAACAATTCGCTGTATGCCTACAATATGCTCTACCAGACATTTTAACATTGCAACTTAATTGCAAGTAGTTAAGACAAACCCCAAACTAACTATATGTTGTGAAATTATCATCATGAAGAGGAAAAAAAAATTCCATCCACTATAATAAATGTTATTTAACAAATGCTTGTTTGGGAAATCAGTGTAAGAACCTATAGTAAATTCAAGTCTCTAAAAAGTTCACAGAGAAGAAATATAAAGGGAGTATGAGAGTGACCTAGTCCACTTATTTCAGTGTTCAGAGAAATTTGCCATATTTCTCCAGCTTTAATTCCACCACTGAAACAAAGATCTGTGCTGCCAGGCGAAATACAGCAATCGCTTAGGCTCAAAAGCGCTACTCAGCAGTTGTATTACATACATCTGGTAAATCAAAGACAGTTCTCTTTGTAAGCAGAAATGCTGTACAGTAAAGATAAAAATAACAGTGTACGTTCTGTTTCTTTAGAGGAGGGAATGCTGTCTAACATTTCAAAAGTATTTAAAATTACTGTATGCTATTCAGATTTCAAGATTTTTTAAATACCACTTTCTGATAATATATATCAAATATTCTGGATGTTTCAGAAAACACAGGATCCCCCACATGCATAGTCCAGGACATAAGGAACCCTGTGAGCACACATGAGTTCCATAATAGTCATTTTATGGCATTTTGCATCATCTTCTTCATCATGTGGTAATAGCTGCTCTCAGAAACCAGAGACAAAATGCAATAAACTCGTTTGGACTCCTAAAAAGGACGAAAGGTTAGTTGCAAGTAAAAGATTTTGACATTTCAAAATCAGATATTTGAAAAATATGCCCCAAACCTCCATATGCCATACACCTTGTGTGAAAGGGAAGGGAGACCCATCTCCAACAGTCCTCCATTGCTGCGGTCTCCATGGCAATGCACTCTAATGCCTGGGAATATTGTGGAGTCTGATTCCTAAACAGGCCACCAAGGAGATTACTGAATGATATGGAAAGGAAATTAAATGGGAAACAGGTTCAGTCAGGACTTCATCAAAAGCGGACCCTCTTCCTAAGTCAAAAATTTCTATGGAGAATAGTTCCATCAGAGTTTTTCCTCTCAGGTCACTGGAAGGTCTCCAGCTTCTAAACATAAAAGGTTCCGAAATATATATAGCTGATAAAGGAGCATCTTCCTTTTCATCCCCCCGACAGGCATTTCAGCTTGCCTTCTCTGAGCTGCCCTCTTTTGGCCAAGATCTGGGGTCTTGATCTGGTGAGATGCCTTGATTCAACAGCAGAGAAGTTTTAACAATAGAAGTAACAAATATTTTTTATCAGGGAACATGCTGAAGTATCACACTGCAGAGGTAGGTAGCATGGGATCCAGACGATTTTTTTAATTGTAGTTAATGAAAATCTGAGCATATCTCTTAGCCTCCTAACTATAACCTTGACAGGTGCTTATGTTTGAAAGCCATTTTCAAATTTCTGAAGTTACAAAAAAAAACTATGCTATAAAATGGCAGTAATATCTCCTCTCCTGTGATGAAATAGATGATGCATTTTATACAAACATAAGTTTTAGCTCTTCTGCAAAGACTAGTTCATCTTCAGAAGATAAAATCAGGAAGCTCTTGTTGATAGAAACACAGGAACTACAAAATTCGTCTAATGGTCTTCTGATTAGTTTTCACTGAAATGAAAAATTGTACCTCTAAGGGTAACTGCATTAGCTGTGTCCATGCTCAATGGCAGCATGTTCTTGAACACACTTCTCCCGATATGTGGGCCTCTCTAGGAAAGAGATTCCACAGGTTACTCTCTCTTAGCTGAATTATAGCCACCTGATAACTACTGATGACATTCAACACAAACAGCTCAGACTGGACCTTGCAAAAATTTGTATCCAAAAGCTCAGTGTACCTTGCCTCTGCTGTAATGTAGGGTCTTGTGTCTTCAAACCAAAGTACAAGTCATTCTATAGAAAATACATTGTATTTAGCAAGATAATTTCAAAGACCAAAGGCCTTGCTTACTCTTCCCTGTTTGCATTTTCTCTCAAGAACACGGACCTGGGAGAAACAGCCTGCATTGACCACAGTACACTTACTTTCTCTCTCTGTGCAGCTTCTTTTCAGTGACCAAGAGCCTTTCACAGATCTCGCAAATCTGGTTTTCAGCTCTTCACGATTGTAGTTCTACCTCTGGCATAGATTTGAGAAGGAGTAAAGGGTAAGGGTATCCTAACTGAGACACTGTTAAATAGTTACCCGCCTCAGTGAAATCCATCCACATATATTTTAACTCCTTTGAAGTTTTGTACCTGAGGAACTTCTGTCTCACTGAGTATGCTCTCAGCATGGCATATTATCTCAGGCACAACACCACACTAGCAAAGCTGTGCAGTTTCCAAACTGCAGCTAGCTATGTCTAGCCAGGCTTCTCCATGAATGTCCACCACAGCAAAGCTGCTGGAGTGGAGAAAGAGGGAGCCAAAGCAACAGTAATTGAATTACAAATGGAATTTATCTATTAAAGTGAAACAAGATTAAACAATGTCATTTGTCTTCTGCACTGAAAAGTTTATCTTGGGACACGTTCCAACGAATGTTGCCATTTTGACAATATTTGACAAGATGATAATGAAATTATTGTCTATTGTTTCTATTCATAGGAGGACAGGAAAGCAGATCCTTGCTTCTGCAGAGGAAAGCTTTACATATTGCCTAATGCAGCAAAGTCTCTAATGATTACAGTCAGAGGAACCGAATCCTCTATAGGTCTGAAAATCCCTATATTCACAACATATGTATGAAATAACTTGGCTGCCAAGGGTATTTTTTAAATCTATACTATAAAAATATACTGAAAGGGAAGTCATAGCAATACTTTGAATGCTCCTTTCCTCCTCCAGTCACATTAAATTAGGACTTCAATAGTTTTTGCATATGGGAATATAAACCAGACATCCCTACAGCATCCTCAGATGCATACCATG